ATTGGCTCCGTTCCCGAACTCAGTCAAGTCTCACAGATCTGGAAAACTCGTTCAAGTTACCGCCTCTGGAACGCTTGCGTCGACACTACCCAACGCCGCCGGCGTCAAATCCTCAAGCCACAAACTTAGCGAATCACACGCAAAACTCCGCCAAGTCTCCGCGATCTCCTCTTCCTCGCCGCGAAGTTGCCGGAGTTCCATCTCCAGCTTTCAAGTCCCTCTATTCTTTACAAAACCGGCTTGATCTGGCACGACCTTCGGAAATTCGATCTCGCCAACAATTGCTTTCGAAAAAGCCACCGATCTCACCTCAAAAATGAAACCAATGGAAAATCAGAATCTGAAGAGCGAAAACTACTCTTAGATCTCAATATTGCTCGATCGAGGACGGCCTGGGAGATTTCAGACCGAAATTTAGCAATTACTTTACTTAATCGAGCGAAAATGTACTTTTCCGGAATTGCAGAGAATTATAAACCCTTGCGAACCAGTACTTGATGTTCGGAAAGAGTATTCTATCGAATAATGAGGTTAGTGGTGCGAATGAAGCGGTGAAATTGATGAACGAGGCTTTCGATTTGAGTGAGAAAGGATTGAGAATTGTGAAAGGGACAGAGGAAACCCTAGCGTTGAAGGAATTGAGATCGAAGACGCTTAGATTTGTATCAGCGTCGCATTTACAGAGAGATGAGTTCGAGAGTGTGCTGAAATGTGTTAAGATTCTAAGAGATGGCGGCGGGGACCAGCACCCGAGTTTGAGTGTGTTGGCCATGAAGGCGTGGTTGGGATTGGGAAGGTATGGGGAAGCTGAGAAGGAGCTAAGGGGCATGGTGGTAGATAAGGGGATACCGGAAGGCGTTTGGGTGTCTGCAGTGGAGTCATATTTTCAGGCAGCGGGAGCTGCCGCCGCAGAGACGGTCAAGGGCTTGTTTTTGGGGCTCTTGGGGAGGTGTCATGTAAGTGCTGGGGCGGCGATCAGGGTGGTGAATAAGGTGGTTGGGGACAGTGGTGGTGGTGAGGGGCCCAGAGTGAGGGCTAAGGTGGTGGCTGAGCTTGTGTCGGATGAGAGAGTCGTGGCACTTTTTGCCGGAGGGGCCGCTGCAAAGGAGCGGACGGCAATGCATGCTCTTCTGTGGAACTGGTAAACACTATCTTTCCCGCCAACAGCGTTCATATTGTATAATATATGGTCAGGAATACTTGTGGAATATGGCAGTTAATACATAAAACTGACACTAATTAGTTCTACTTCATAGAAACTTCTACTATAACACGAAACAATGAACCATAACACACCGAAGAAACAAGTATTCAACCATAATACCTGTATCAATTGGGGTTTACCAACGAAACCTTTAGGAAGGATTTCTCAACACAGCCACTGTGTTGTCAAAATTTCATTTTTCCAATCATAGAAAGGATGTTTTCAACCATAGAATGAATATGTGATTTATAATTTGAGACTATTGGCTTCGTATTTAAGTCGAAATCTTGAACATGGAAGCAGTCTTTATAATTTTATTTTTTGAGCTGCTGATCTCTTCCTAAGATGTGTGTACCTCGAAGATTAGGCCAAAAAAAAAAGGGAAAATCCTCCACTCTACATTCTTCTTTTAAATGAGCCTTCGGTAACATATTTTTCGCTTCACACTGCAGCATAGCTTCAGATTTTACTATATACATTGTAGACATTTGGAATGAAAACATGTAGTTTAGTCTGCTTTATTTGATCAAAATTTGTAAAAGTGAAAAGCCTGTGTCATTTTTATGCTTGTTGAAGACACAGATAGCTATGTGGAACCCAACATGAAATGCATTCTTCATGGGAAAATGTGAATCTTGAGAAATGAAAATCTTAATGCAAATATGTCTATGAAACTTGTGAGGTCAGGGGTGAAAGCATGTTAATTTTTTGAGAATTCTTCAGTCAACAATTGTAATTTTTAGGCAATGTCGCAAGAAACCTGGAAGATGATAGTTGCATTATTAATCTTGCAGCCAGCTATAAGCCATTTGATAATAAGATGTAGGGTTCCTGTATCTGTAACCTCCGTCGAGTACGCAGTTAAGGTCGGTTAAAAGCTGGTGATTAGATGCATTCCTTTTCCGCAAATGCAACCTCTTGCAAAGAGAAATGTAAATAAACAGGTGATTAGATGCATTTCTTTTCAGCTTAAGAGATTTTAGTCTTTTTTTTAATTCTGTCGTGTAGTGCTGCTGAACTTTTTCGATCAAAAGATTACGAGGCCAGTGCTGAGATGTTTGAGAATTCAATGCTTTATGTCCCGTATGATATAGAAAATAGAATCCTTCGAGCAAAGGGCTTCAGAGTGTTGTGTCTCTGCCATCTTGGCCTTTCCCAGTTGGATCGAGCTCAAGAATATATTAATGAGGCTGAAAAGGTACGCCGATCATACCTTCAAGCTGGAGTTATAGTGATGGCATCTGGATAACTAAATCCTTTTCAGCCTGAGCTATTTTTAATATCCTCATGACCTTCTTATTTTATGCAGCTTGAACCCAACATTGCCTGTGCTTTCCTTAAGGTATGGTCTCTAGGGTGCAGCTCCTCTGCTGTAAGGCAAAAACAGCACAGTGTGCTGTTATAGGAAACGGCGCCGTTTTAATTAAGTTTTGCGGTTAAAAATTTTTCTCCAAAGAAAAAACGAGACAAGCCTTTAAAGATTCCCCTTCTCACCCTCTCCCTCTAAAAATTAGTCTCTCTCTAAAAGAGTCTTCCACCTGAGCTAAGTCTCGCCCAGCCATTGCATCATCTCCTCTGCCGTATCCCTACTGGAAAACTCATCCCGCTCCACCTTACCATTATAAAACTCCACTTTAAACCCTCCCTCTTTTACATCAAGTACCAAGGGTTTACAGCAAATTCATATTTAACCAATTAAGGAAAGAAATCTGGATCTGCAACAATAGAGCTGTGCATTTCTCTTGAAAAAGAGTCAGGTCTAATGTTGATGTTGAAAGTCATTCATTGGTGAGGAGAATGATTGCTGAAAGAACTGTCAACAAAATTGGTGTGATAAACATCGTGAAAGGGTTTTAGTGGGCGATAACTTCTGTCAAATTTTGTAGAGAGGGGATTTGTTGGAGTGAAATTAGCAGCAATATTGTGTGTGTGTGTGTGAGAGAGAGAGAGAAGGGTCTGAAATCTGCAAGGTTTGTGCAGAGGAGCTTGGCAAGGGTTACGGCAAAGAGAGAGCTAGCTCCACTGCTTTGTTCTTCGGGAAAAAAATTTTACCGTGCAAAACTTAATTAAAACGTGGTCGTTTCCTCTAACAGCACACCATGCTGTTTTTGTCTAACCGCAGAGGAGCCACACCCATGGACTCTCTCTCTCTGGACAGCACACACCTGCCTTATTGTTACACACAGACCTTTTGAAACCTGCCATGTTTGGTCGAATGGGTGCAGAGTTTATATTCAAAGTTGACATGTTTTTGGTCCATCCAGTTAATTCCTATATATTATTTCATATAGAAGTTTACTTGTATGTGATATGCGCAGTTTAAGATCTACCTGCAAAAGAATGAGCTCAATAAAGCTATTGCTCAGATGCAAGCAATGTCAACCTGCCCTGATTTCAGTCTAGACTTCCTCTCCCTTTCTGCTCATGAAGCTGTTGCTTGCCGTGCTCTATCGGTTGCTGTCGCATCTCTATCCCATCTGCTAAATTTTTACTCCGTAGGGAAACCAATGCCAATGACTGAAGTCATGGTTCTTCGTACCCTAGTCACAGTCCTAATGCAAGAGCCTGACAACGAGTCTGATATTCTTAAATATATGAAACGAGCTCATGCTCGGTTGTCTGAACTTGGACCTGACAGCTTCCTTGGGAAAGGCGAAGTTGGAAGACGGGAATGGAATTGGTTTGCAGTAAACTTATGGAATATTGGCGCAAGAACTGGGAAGGAGAATAAGTACGAATTGTGTGCAGAATTCTTTAGATTGGCATCAGAGTTTTTTAGTATTAAGGTTGATGGCGAAGTGGAGGGAAATAATGTGATGGTTTGCAAATCACTGATATTGACTGTGTCTGCCATGATAGCTGATGAGAAGCAAAGAAATGCAACATTGCTGGATACTGAAGTCAAACAAGCCATTGAACTGCTAGATAGAGCTGGAAAGGTAACAATCAGCTCTCGAATTGTGTCATAAATTGTGCACAGAAGTTTCAGTCAGAGATGGGGTAATTCAGTTAAAATACAGCTTTTATTTGATGACTTTCATGGTTGGTTGCAGATACTATCGTTAATTTCAGCTGGAACTCGATCAGGTGATGATCAGATCACTGCTGTGGGGTCCAACTTCTTCTTTGTATACACTTGGACTTCGTATGATCTACATTCAAGGCTCAGTGATGTGGGATCTCAGCAGCTCCTCCTGATAAAGAGCTTTGCTAGCTCAAAGTTTTGCAATCCAATGTACCTCCTTCAGCTAGGCGTTAGTGCCTCTCAAGGGCCAAGGTCCAACCCTGAAGTAGCTACCTTCTCCTTAAATACGTGCCTCTCGTCCCTCCTCGCTTCCCCTTTGCCAGATTATCAATGTGTGGCTCTTGTTCTCAGGAAACTGATTTCTGTGGTTGCCATTCATAAGGGGAATACAGATGATGATGTAGTTTATGGGGCATACAAGCAAGCATACCGGATCATGGTGGGGTTGAAGGAAGGGGAGTATCCGATTGAAGAGGGGAAATGGCTTGCCATGACAGCATGGAACCGCGCTGCTCTCCCCGTGAGGCTGGGGCATGTTGAGTCAGCAAAGAGGTGGATGGATATTGGATTGGAACTGGCTGGGAAGGTTCCGGGAATGCAAACTTATAGGTCATGCATGGAAGATTTCGTTGCTGGCTTTGAGAAGAAATTTCATGCCCATGACAAACCTGAAAACAGGTCTCTAGTAGTAACATAATTTGCAAGTCTTCATCTTGTACAGAAGATCAATGGTACAGCTTCAAGGTCTTGGGACTCTTGCACAAATGGCTATCGGTACAATCCATTCTTTTTGATGTCCAGTTGAGACTTTATGCACCTAGCCCCGCCTTCTGTCTTCAGATTCTGATACGTGGATAGCAAAAGCAGATTTCTCGTACGTATGCAATGCATGGAATGCTTCAAGTTATCGGATTTTGTCATTTACATACTTAATGGGGAAGTATGCACACACGCTAAGATGCAGATCTCAATGTCATTGCTTAAAAACTGAAAAAAAAAAAAACAGATCCCTCACATAGATTAGAACTTCTATTTGGTAATACTAGATATTTTTGCTAATAAAGATTAATCTTTTTCCCCAAACAGTTTTTGTTAAAAGTAATTTTCTTGGATTATATTTTGGTTTGTTTAGAGTTTCCAACTATAGGCATGCTAGCAAATAACGACTTCTTAAGAATCCCTTTATATTTTTTTATTGCTCTAAAATTTGTTGCGATCGAAAGAAATGTCTCAATCGACAGACATTTCTCAAGCGATTGTTTGTGGATGGGTTCTACTGTCTTGTTTCAGGACTTCATTAGATGAAATTCAATAACAAAACACACAAAAAATTAAGCTAACAAAGAAATATGCCTTTATTAATTCAATCGAGTAGGTTTCAATTACAAAGTGATTAATTTAATAGCCTTTGATTACAACACTAATTACTTCCTAAAAACTAGCTCTAATACTACTTCTAAATGCCTTGATCGTGGGTTTTGTGTGGGTTTAAGTTGTTGTTCGTCTTTCTCTTTTCCTTCTTTTATAGCCATTAATTTCGATAGTTTTTTCCTTATCGACGGTTATTTGGCTTCGTAATTTCTAAACAGTTTTTTCCTCTTTCAATCTAGAATTGTGGCTGATTGTTTCCTGCTTTTTTTTTAAATCTTGAAAATTCTTTAATGATTTTAGGCTTGCCAACTACACATGCATTGAATGTTTTCATAATTTTTTGTTTTATGTCCAAACAATGCCCTCTCATTTAATTGGATTTGTTCCTTAATCAAGCCAAGTAAATGAACCATCATGTCTGTTGTCTTTTCTCACTGTTTCTTAAGATGTCTTTCAATAGTTAATTTGTTCATTTCAAATAAACAATTGAACAGTTGGTAACCACCAGAAAACCCTCAACGCACCTATTTAAAAGGTTCAGTTATTGTGGAAGTCCTCATCTATTCTATTCCTTACTTTTGATAATCTTCCTTGGCTTGTACTCAATTTTAAAATTCTCCTTGACTTTTGATGACATACAAACGGAAAGCAAGTTGTTCTACTTCTGTTAGTTCTCCTCCATGCATGTCTCTTGCTCTTTGGTTCTCTGTGAGGCTTAGATATGCTGTTTGGGATTCAATCGACGATCAAATTCTTATCCCCTCTGAAGATCCTGGGGCCAATTTTGCTTTAGGTCTAGCTTTCAAATCCACCATGCTCCCGGCATTGTTTGAATGCTACCTTATTTCTCACGGAGAAGTCTTTGCACTCCATCGCTTCCATCTCTAAAGGCACTGGGATCAAGGGCTCACTTTTTTGAAAACTTGGATTGACCTAGACCAACAATGGTTTGATTGGGTAACACGAAAGGAGGCGCATTTCTCTGACCAATGGAAATAACAAAGGATCTATGAACAGATCAAACTATTTACTTGTCCTTTTTCCATGAATCGCTAGCTCGTAGGCATAGCAATCTGTTTCTGGTCAAAATCTTGTAATGCCATGCTCTTTCCTCTTGGTATGATGTCTCCTTTCATTCTTGACGTCGTGTTGTGCACTTAACAGGGCTTCTATAGACTAGTATTGAGGTAATTGCAACCTTAAAACCAAATTGCATCTTGGTAGACATTCCTACCAATTTTAGCTATTCCAACCATGTCTTTTTCTTCTGTAGGCCAAACTCTGGTTCCCTTTCCAATGAAGAACATGTTACTTTCCTTCTATGTTGACTCTGTCACTTTGTCCTTTATATTCCTAACCTTCAAGTCACAACTGAATATCATAACATTGCTATTTTCCTCACTAATGGTCACATTATAGCCTTTGCCCCCTTTGTTTTAAGAGCTCTTTATAACCTTTTTGATATGTTTGAGAGAGGCATTAATTACCTTTGTGGAGGTCCTTTATGGATTTTCCAATCATGGCTATATGCCTATTTTCTTGAAACTTGGGATGGCGAGTATCTTCCATTTCCAAAATTCTATCCTTTCAATTATGCCCATTACTTTCTTGTGTCAGTACCTTCAACACTACACAAAGACTTCAACTTCTATTTCAAAACATTTCATGATCTGGAGTTTACCAGGTATCCTTCTCTTTCTGGCCTTTCTTTGAATGCCTTTACTCCTCTCTTTGCATTGGAGCATTTTTTGATGGCTCCAATCCTTCTGATGAGCAATCCACTTTCTTCCATAACTTTTGGGAGATTTACTATTCTTGATTCAGTTTTTGAAATAGCCTCAAATCTCCCTTTCCTCTTCTGAGATTGTTGTTCTTAATGTACTTGTCTCTTGATCTTTTGCCAAACAATTTCTTTGGTAATCGATGGTCTAGTGGAATGGTCCATTTCTTATGTTTTTCCCATTCTTCCTTGGTGCTTAGTATCCCTTGCATCGCTTCATTATCTCAAGGAGATAATGGAAACTAGGATGATATCTCTCTTTGATTGGAAAGATGCATGGATTTGTCCCATCGAAAATTTTCTTATAGCCATTGTAGATTTGTACATCTTCTTCACCTCTGATGCTGAATTGGAGTCCTTCATCAGTGAACTCCTTCATTTCATCATATAGTGGGATTGCATCAGGTTTGGCTATTTCTTTTGCACACTTGAAACACATTACTAGTGGTTCCTCCTCTTTGGGGCCAAGTCTGCTATGCACTGGGACCCTCATCTCTAGAACAATTCTCTCTCTGCTAGCCACAAAACTGGCAGATTCCATGCTTCCCTGCATATTAACAGAAACCACATTTTTGTTTATTTCCATGGGAAAAGGATCCTTGTCGATTTTCATGGTCTATTCCTCTTTTGCGGCATACTTAAGCATTTGCTTTGTATTAGGTCTTGCACTTGATTCCTAAAGGTGATGCAATTTTTAGTTGAATGTTTAAATGAATTATGCCATTCACAATACTTTATGTCCCTGAGATAAAATTGAGAACTTTTGGTTGATCCTCTCATCGAAGAGAGCATTAGACATCGATAGATCAAAAGAGTTTTGTTTAGAGGTCTGGGGTGTATCTTTCTTAAAAGGATGATTAAATGGCATTTCGATAGGGTTTTCAATCTTTTTTCAGGGTATCACACATGATTGTGATTTTCCTATGACTTGTGTCAAATGTATTTTAACTTCTTTATTGAAGTCTTGGAAATAAATTTCAAATGAACTATTTTTTCTTTGTTGTTCTTCCCTAAGCAACATTTCATATCTAGTAGCTCTGTCTGAAAGTTCAAACAGGTCCTGAATTCCATTTCCTCAAATTTCTTTCGCAATTCGAAGTCCAAACTGTTTTGGGCTAATTTCACCAGTTCTACTTCAAGCAAGTAAACATGACATTTGTTTTTAGCTTTTTTTAAATCTGTCAATATATCTTGTTTTACAAATTCATTTGATTTGTATCTCAATCTAAACAATCTGCTATCGAGACTTCTGGTTCGTTTCTGAAAAATTGAGCATGAAATTGTTCCTTTATTTCTTGTCATGTTTGAATTGAATTAGCAGGCAAATTAATGAACCAAGCAAAAGTAGTTTTCATAAGCGATTGTGGGAACAATTTCATTTTTAAATTCCCATTGTGTCCAACTTCTTCACATTGGAAAGTAAATTTTCCTATGTGTTCTATTGTGGACTGACTTTTTTCACTAGATAAAAGATGAAATTTTGAGATTTTATAACTCCTTGGGAACTCTTCGTAATCAACCTATAGAGGGTATGATTTTCTGAACTTAGAACTCTCAGTCTTCCTTAGAATAGGGCCATATAGGTCTTGAATAATCTCCACCAATTAGTTTCTGTTGAAAATCACATTCTAGTGGCCATTGATGTGTTCCCCTTGATCAAAGGGTTGTCCCCTGTTCTTGGGTTGAATTCATCTATGAGTTCTAATGGAGGCATGACAAACCTTTCACGATCTCTCTTAGGATTTTGAGGGACCATCCTTGGTTCATTTCTTCCCTTAGGATTTCTTTCTGGAAAAAAGTTTGGAAGGACTGCCATAAGTTCTCCATCGAATATCATGTTAAAGTGATTTTAGTGTGGGAAACCTATTCTTTCACCAATAACCATTGGTGGTGGTCTTTGATATTCTATAGGGAATACCATAGGAACAACATTTCCTTTATTCACCACTTGATTTCTAGTCACAACGTTTGATTTTTAAGTGAATGGTCTTGACAGTGGTGTTGGAACATTCAATAATTTATGCATGACATTAATTAATTCTTGCCTAATGTCAGAATTGGGGTTGTGTAATACCTGTTTCAAGTGCTGTACAAACTCCTGCATTTGCACACTTTCTTGGCCATTGGATAGACCATTCAATGGGTTTCCAAACTCCACAAGATAGGTACTCGAACTTGTTTCATGATTGCTATCAGCTGGCGTCATTTCCACAATTTCGTTAGTCTCAAACATGATCTTGTCTTATTCCCTTGTTTGCACCATGTTCCTTGATCCAAGTTAGTAATGATGTCTTATCGGATGTGTCAAAAGATTGTTGTTCCAAAATCTATTGCGATCGACATAAACACCTCAATCGACACACAGCTCTCAGACGATTGCTTGTATATGGGTTCTACTGCCTCATTTCATGGTTTCATTGGATGAAATTTGATAACAAAACACACAAAATACTGAATTAACAAAGAAATATGTCTTTATTGATTCAATCGAGTGGGTTTCGGTTACAAAATGACTGATTTAAAAGCCTTTGATTACAAAACTAACCACTTCCTAAAAACTAACTTTAACATTACTTTTAAATGCCCTGATCATGGGTATTGTGTGGGTTTGAGTTGTTATTTGTCTTCCACCTTTCTCTCTTTTATAGTCACTCCTCTCGACAGTTTCTCTCTTATCAACGGTTATTTGGTTTCGTAATTCCCAGACATTTATTTCCTTTTTCAAACCAGAGTTGTGGCTGATTATTTTACGCATTTTTTTCAAATCTTTATACTTGACAATCGTTTAATAATTTTAGGCTTACCAACTACACGTGCATCGAATGCTGTCATAATTTTGTATTTTATGTCCAAACACTTTTCTCTGGGGAATCTTATATTCCTTAGAATCTGATTCACCTGAATGAACACATTAACCCATAAGCAA